TTTCTGGGGGCAGTAACCATAAACTTGAGTGTGGCTTGAAGACTGCTGGGGACAGTTATTAATTATTAAGTATACTTTGGTAAAAAGTACTTGGTGAGTACTTTGGTAAAACAAGAGCTTTTTTTGCATTGTTTTGTACTTTTTGTCATGGGCTGTGATCTGTTGGAGCGATGACATAGCTTATCTCCTGTGGTGTTGCATCACCTGGAAGTGATGGTGGAACTGTCAGGCCCACGTTGACGGGCTCTCACACATGCGCAAGGTGAGTTCCACGTTCTTGACAGCATGTATGCCCCCTCGTCCCTGTTAATGGTGGACGCCCCTTGTTCCCTGATTTTTATTGCCTCTCTAATCCACCCTTTGTAGGGGTCGGTTTCCTTTTCCCACGATGCAAGTGTTGTCCCAGTTCATTATTGTTCCGTTCGCAGTGATCGGTGATGGCTGCTTTAAGTTTAGCTTTTCCTGGAATTTCGTTTTATTTTTGTTTTATTTTTTTTTTTTTTACCAAAGTCTCTTGCCCATTAAGATGAATGTTTATTACTAAACTTACCTGTAAAATTAAGAGTAGTTTACCCCTCACAGGCTTCCATTAACTCCATATTCCCTCAACAGAGCCGAGCTGCTCATAAAAAACTGTGCTGTAAGTGACCCAGTTTCATCATGGCTGATATTAACTTAAAGTTTACGTTAGCCGAAGGACTAGCTAGTGGTGACTTGTTGTTTGGATGGATGGATTTCCCAGCATGACATACTTTTTTTAGACATTTAGAAAATTAAATAAATGAAATAATCATGGTTTTGGGTTTAGAGGAAAGTATTATTGATAAAAAATTATATATATATATATATATATATACATATATATATATATATATATATATATATATATATATATATATATATATATATATATATATATATATATATATATATATATAAAAGAAAAGTTGGGTGTATTATAGAAACACCATAACTGAAGCAGATTGTGGTACAGGGGTTTATATAACGTTCACTTCCACTGAGTGTTAGTTGTGCACAGATGAACGGATAGATATGTGCTGGCATAATGCTGCAGCAGATATTTTAACACGGCGGGAACTTGGTCATCTATAAATATTAGTGGGGACATGTCCCCGGTGTCCCTGGCTAAAATTATGCCTATGCCTCTAAATATTTAAGAAAAATGTATTTTTCCTTCCTTCTTGCATGTTTTTGCTAGAGCTAAACAACTTCCTCCTTTTGGTTTTAATGCTAGGCTACACATCTGCCTCATTTAGCTTAAAGATCCATTAGATTTTCACAGAGTAGAAATTTTTGTGTTTTAATGAAGTTTTCTTTGTTAGCTGCAAACCCTGAATGGATAATGCTGATAGAAGTTAAGCCATTACATTAAGACAAAGTGTTAAACTTGTCTCTCAGTGATAAAGGAACTCATTCTAACTTCGATATGAGCTCTGTTTGTTGCTTTGAACAGCCCTATTTACCTTCTTCAGTAATTCTTGCAGAGACATTTTTATAAACGCTGCAGCGTGATTACTTTTGTGGGGGGGTGGGTTGAAATGACTCAGAGCTTACAATAAGCAGAAAAGTCCAGGAAAAGCACACAGGCACATCCCTCTCAAACATAACTGGAGGACGGACCACATGGGCGATGGGGGGTGGGGGGGTGGAGGATGGAGAAGTGATGCCTTGCTTTAAGGTGGCATAAATAGAAGACAAGATGAAGCTCGACTATCAGTTGTAACACATGAATATTTTGCCGGGAGATATTGTATAAAGTCTGAAGTGTGTGCGGGGGTGTGACGGAGCATTTGCACCAAAGAGGAGATGAAACACAAAATTTCCATCCTCAGTAGACACGTCCTTGCTTATTATCAGGCAAATGGAGTGAGAAAAAGTGGAGGAATTGCAGGCAGAGTACATTTTTTAGCTGCATCTGTGGTTAAAACTGGAGAATAAAAGTCTCAAACAGCTCTGGGTATCACGTATTTCACAATGCATGGCTGGTGCCTGTAGCATTTCAGGAAATGACACAATCCTCTCCCTGGAGGATGATTCAAAAGCCTGTGTTCTCCACTCAGAGAGCATTCCCCAGCACCAGTCAGGTGGACTGAGCATGCACCGCCTAGCTTGTCACACAGCATAAGAACACGAGCCTACAAGGTTTCACTTCCTCATTTACAATGACGCACTAATGTCCCTTGAAAGCTCTGGGCTTCTGAGGACAGTCAATGGGAAGCTCACTTTGGTCACACCAGATTTTCTCCAGGTGAGTCCAGAAGTGACTCTGGACGTTTATCTCCACACAGGTCACAGTTTTGCCTCTCACACACGCTTGTTTGCTGTATAAAAGTCTGGGTGAATCAATGAGGAGAGTGTTGAAAGCTTAATCAGCAGCAGCAGCAGCAGCAGGGTGAAGCATGGCTTTGTTTTCTCTCTCATGACCTAAGCTCATCCATGACATCAGCCGAGCTAATTGTACACGTTCTTGAGTGAAAGC